GGGCTTGAAGAACGTCAGGGTATGCCTTCCCCGGTACCTATCATAACGCCAGGTACTGACTTATTTTATAGCCGAGGAGATGGTGAAATCTCCTCCGGTGTCCGTGGCATGTGCTTGAACTTGGAAGCCGACAACGTCGGTGTCTCCATCTTCGGTAATGATCGTCTCATCAAGGAGGGTGACACCGTCAAGCGTACCGGCCAGATCGTCGACGTCCCGTCGGCCCTGCTCTCCTCGGTCGTGTCGTTGACGCCCTCGGCAACCCCATCGACGGTAAGGGCCCCATTGAGGCCACCCAGCGTAGCCGTGCCTCGCTCAAGACGCCCGGCATTCTCCCTCGTCGCTCGGTGAACCAGCCCATGATGACTGGTATCAAGCCCATCGACGCCATGGTGCCCATTGGTCGTGGTCAGCGTCGCGTTCGCGCTGCTTCCACCCCCCGTCTGCCGTTTGCCCATTGCCGAGCGGTTGCCGCCGACGCGATTTTGCTCGGCGCAGCTTCCACCACCGCCACTGCCGTCTGCCCCTCCCCGCGTGCGAGCGGCCCACGCGGTCTCGCTCAGCGCCGCTTCTACCCCCGCACCCGCCATTCGCCCAATACCGAACGCGAGTCGCCAACGCGATAGCGCTCGGTGTCGTCTCCTCCCGCCCTCTTTCACTCAATGCCGAGTGCAAACCGCCAACGCGGCGGCGCTCGGCCTTGTCTCTCTCCATGGCGCCTACCTTCGTCCAGCGCCAATCGTGAGCCGCCAACGCGGTCGCGCTTGACGCAGCTTCCCTCCCCTCCCGTTCGCCCAGCCCGGAGCACGAACTGCGTACGTCTTCCGCTCAGCGTCCCCGCTGCGCCAAAGCACCGGCCTCCATGGTGCCAGTGCGCTCGACATCTGCTGCGCCAACGCGCTTGCCCCTGCCCGAGCCCGTGCGTTTGTCCCGGACTGCGCCAATGCGCTCAACGTGTCCGCCTTCACCTGCGCCAACGCGGCCAGCTCCGCTGTGCCAATGCGCCCGATGTTCGCTGCGCCAACGCGCTTGCTCCGGACTGCGCCAAGCCCGCTGCCTTGCCACCCCCCACCCGGCACACCCGTGCTCGACCCCACCTTGCCTTCAGTGCTGGACTCTGCAGCAGCGCCGTGCTCCATCCCGCCTCGCCGCCGTGCTTGATCTACCCAGCTGCCGTGCTTGACCCTGCCTCGCCTCCCCGTGCTTGAAGCTGCACATCTCCCATGGTCGAAGGCACGTGTTTCCAGTGCTGGAAGCTCCCAGCAATGGGTTACGCTTGGTCTCTCGCCCGCTGCTCCCGACCTGCTTTACTCATGCCCCACTCGATGCCACTCCAGCACCCCACGCTTGGGGTGTGCCGCAGTTGATTTGACATGCTCATTGCAGCAGGCTCGACGCACACGCCATGGCCGGCTGAACTCTAACCATAGAGTTTATTGTAATGTAATGCATCAATGCCATTTGTTTTGGCTCCCCATGAGATATGACACAATTAGAAGAAGATTGAATCATACATATGTATATTCCTGCACAATGTAATTATAATACCTGATGAATGGATAGTACACATGACCAAATTGTGAAGACATCTGACAAGATGTGACATGAAGTCTGGAGGTTTCTGGTGTTATTTGAACCAAAATATATCATATTGAAGAGATGATTGATGTTACAAATCACCAAAATATGCCCAAAAAGTTCATAAAATTTCACATATTTGTGAACATTTTGTGACAAATGCTCAGGGGGACCTTCCAGATATCCTCATTTTTGTACTTATGTGCTCCTATCAGCTCCTATATGTTCCTATATACTGTAAAAGGCCCCAAAATGGCTTTATCTGCACGGATAGTCCAGTAATTACTTGACATTCCCCCCCTTTATGATACTAATTCCCAGAGGGTGTGTTTCCTGATGTACCTCTGCTGGGTAAAATTTGCCGTAACAAATCGCTGATGACGTCAATCATCTGAAAAAACCCCCTGCTATGTAGTCTGGCTCTCATGTTATCTAAGCTATAGTAGGCCTATGGTTGCTATCACTTTCAAGCTGAG